CTTGGTAACGGTGGCGAAGGTCTCATGGTAATCTAGGCCTTCGAGTTGGGTAAAACCCTTGGCGACAAGTCGGGCTTTGTAGCGTTCAATTGATCCATCAGGTTTGTATTTGATTTTATAGACCCACTTGCAACCAATGGTGTGTTTTCCTGGAGGTAGAGTTGTGAGATGCCAAGTTTTATTGGCTTCAAGGGCTTGGAGTTCATGTGCCATAGCTTTGCGCCATTGTGGAGATTGATTGGCCTGAGCAAAGGTAATAGGGGTGATGGAAGAGGTGATAGTAGCAACATAGGACCGGTGCACAGAGGAAAGGTGCGAGTACTTGAGGTAAGAAGAAATAAGGTGAGATGTGGATTCTTTAGCTGCTGGTGTACCAATAATGGAATTGGCAAAATCTTTCAAGTAAGGAGGTGGTTTCGAGATACGACCAGAGTGTCGAGGCATAGGAACAATTTCATTACTGACTTGCGAGGCAGGGTTAGGTTGATCAGGAGTTGTTTGTTCGCAATGAGTACTGTCAGTGCTAGGTTGGCGGATGGCAACCTGGTCGGGTATGGGTGGTACTCTGGTGTCGACGTTAATGTTGGTTGGGGACTGAAGTTTAATGAGCTCGGTATGACCATTGTCATAAATGATAGGCAGTGGTAACGATGGGGATGTAGCTGTTTCAGTGTCTCTAAAAAGAAAAACGGTCTCATGAAAGACTACATCGCGACTGACATATGTTTTCTTGGAGGCTAGGTCATAAATTTGATATCCCTTTTGACCAAGAGGGTAGCCAACAAAAATCCCGGATAGTACGCGGGCATCGAATTTATGAGATATGTAAGAGTTCCAGACAAAACAAAGACATCCAAAGACTCGGAGGTTGTGATAGGATGGTGCAGATCCGAGGAGAACCTCTTAGGGACTTTTACCAGATAATAGTTTTGTTGGTATCTTATTGATGAGATACGTTATAGTAAGAATATAGTCACCCTAAAAACTGAGAGGTAGATGGCCTTGAAAACAAAGGGCCCGAGCAACATCTAGTAAATGGCGATGTTTTCGTTCGACTACGCCATTTTGTTGGCTGGTGTGAATACAGCTACGTTGATGAATGATGCCATGAGTATGGAAAAAATTTTGAAGGTCATTGCCAAGGAATTCTTGGCCGTTGTCTGTGCGAAGAGTTTGGACAAGGATATTAAATTACGTCTTAACATATGAAATGAAATTGCATAGAATGGATTGAGTTTCCGATTTTTGACGCATTAAAAATATCCAAGTGGCATGAGAAAAATCATCTATAATGGTTAAAAATAATGGGCTCCTGATAAAGAGGCTACACGATAGCCACCTCAAATGTCACAATGAATTAGACTGAAAACATGCTTACTGGAAATAGAACTGTTTGGAAAAGGAAGCCTGGTTTGCTTTGCCAAGGGACATATATTGCAGATACAATATGTATAAATGGAAATGCTAGGAATTAACTTGGAAAGGAACTTTAGTCGTTCAGACGAGGGGTGCCCCAAACGCCAGTGTCAGCGATCAAAAGTAGGAACGAGGCTGGTGGAGACAGCGTTGACTCGGGTCGAATCAAGGATGTAGAGGCCTCCATGGAGTTTACCCCGACCAATCGTCTTCCTCAATTGAAGGTCCTGAATAAGACAATGATCAGTGTGGAATATGGCAAAATAGGATGTTACCCTGGTTAATTGTGGAATAGATATAAGATTAAGGTTGAAAGAAGGGATAAAGGACATCATCTAGACGAAGTCCATTGGGTAGAGCCACAGTCCCTGTAAAAGAGATGTTAGCAGTCTGACCATTGAGAAGGGTCACTGGAGATATGTTGGACTGTGGTTTAAGAGATGTAAACAAAGATTTGGAACACGCCATATGATGGGTAGCTCCAGTATCAATAACCCAATGAATAGAAGGAGAAGTGGTAAGACAAGCAATATTACCAAAGACAGTGGTAGTTGAGGCAGGTGAGTTGGTGGGCATCACCGTTGAGAGTAATTTCATCAGTTGTTGATACTGTTCAGGTGAGATGACTGAATGTTGTTTGCATTCTTCTGAACTGTTAGCAGATCCAGCAGTGGGAAGAGTGCATCCATTGTGTTGAGTATTGTACTGATTACCTTTGGGCTTTCCCTGATGTCATCGACTGTTATTCTTCGGTGGAAAACCATGAAGGAGAAAGCATCGATCGATTGTATGATTGTCCTGCTTGCAATGGTCACAATGCAGGGGAGCTTTCCCTTTAGGGCCAGAGTGGTTGATAGCGAGGGCTGGAGCTTCATGAGAGGGAGGAGCCACACGAAGGTCACGGTGCCGTTCTTCCTAAAGTAACAGTGAGTATGCACGATTGACAATAGGTAAGGGTTCCATCAAGCGAATCTAACTGCGTATTGCATTGTAGCTTTCGTTTAAACCCATGAGGGACTGCATGACTTTCTCTCTTTGATGAATGTTCATGAGTTCTTTAGTAGATCCACAGGTACAGGGCGGTACGACATTATAGGAATAAAGTTCGTCCCATAGTGCATGTACCTTGTTCATGAGTAGCGATGGCACGAGAAAGTTGGAATATGCGGGGTGCGTTTTGTTGAGAAAAACGATCACTTAGCTCGAGCCATACCTCCTGCGCCGTCTCTGCATACATCACACTATTAGTGATGTCATTGTGAACTGAGTTGAGAATCCAAGAATACACCATTTTGTTCCACCTCTCCCATTGAGATGCTTTGGGATCTGAAGAACTGGGCTTCTCAATGGTTCCATCAATGAACCCATATTTGTTCTTGGCAAGAAGTGTCATTCGAATGGCACGAGACAATGTCGCATAATTTTCCCCAGTCGGATTTTGAGTGACAATGGAGACTCCTGGAATGTCAGAAGAATAAAGAAAGTAGGGTGAATCGGTGTTGCTGAGCTCTTTGTTGGCTTGCGTTGAGTCACCCATGACGAACGGAGGAGATCAGCAAAGAAAGAGTTGGATCATTAAAACTCAATGAATGATGAGATCTCCGGCATGACCATCGACCCTCAATCAATCATCGAGCTTCAGAACCATGCTATGATACCATGCAAAAGAACGAAAAAGAAAGAAAAATAGAAAAGAGGACAAAAAAATGTATCGTGGTTTGGCCAAAGAAAACCTACGTCCACACTATCTTACTCACGGTTTTCATTAGAATACTTGGTTATATATACACATAGGGATAGCTAAAGAAAGCATGTGCCTACAAATTGTGGAACAGATTGAATCACAAACTAACCAATCACCAATAACAAACTCCATGGCTGGCATTAACAGAAACAACAAATCATTTGCTGGCATTTGGTTGACAGGTTTTTTTGAAACTGAAGATATGCTTGCATCCAAAACAGGTTTCTGTCTTATGTATCTGTTGGTGCCAACTTAATAAAGATTGAGAGGGATTCTTGTGGGTGCGTCATTAAGAACCCGAGAATAGATTATCTTGTAATATCTAGAATAAGACAAAACTCATCGTCTCCTTATGGATATAGGTGATTGCCGAACCACGTAAATCTCATGTTTTTGTTTCTTGATCTATTTTTCTACTGTATATTGATATCCTCTTTAGTTCGAACAGGTTTTATCTAGTGTTTCCAGATCGCCAGTGATTGATTGGTCTATAAAGAAGAAGGATATCTAATTAGGGTGTTCAGTGACACTTTCATAGTCTATGCTGCCTCATAGATCGACGGTTGGTGGCCAACGATCACTATCGAGTTGTGGGTGGTGTACACCAACATGAATTGTTTTCAATTAAAACACCATAAAACATGAAAGCAAATATTAGTAACCTAATAGCTTAATGAGTGATCATCATAGTATCATAATCAGACATGATTACGATAAGGATTATTTCTTTGTCCTTGGAGAATCCTTTAATCCTCCATGATAGCTTATATCCAATGGGAAGTCTCTTTCTTCCTTTATGCCTTTCAACTGCTAGAGTGAAAGTACTTTTCTTTCCTCTTGCAGGTTTTTATTTTGTTGTTTTTCACCCTCTCATGAGTGGATTTTGATACTCTCTAGTAGTGGAATTGCATGTTTTTGTTTAGTAGCTTTTCACCCTCTCATGAGTGGATCTGGATACTCTCCACTATCGGAAAGGATTCAAAACCCTCATCATGTCATCACTCATGTGTAAGCCTAAGAGCCTTTGTATAAACAAAATAATAAAATTTATTAAATAATTAAGTATTAGCATTTAGAATTTTAACTACTAAATTTATGCGTTACAGACAGCTATCATAATTCCTTCTTAAGACTCTGCAATAAGTTGATGCCGAAGCAATCACGAATGCTTTTTGGGAGAAATCTAATCGTACCAAGCCCGGACAAGCCAAGAAAAGAGGGGGGTTTTTGACCAGGTTTTTACACGCAACTTTTACAGATTTGTAAGTTTTGATTCTCTTTCCATAGAATCACTATTATTATATTTTATTAGAAAGATCAATAGGTGCCCAAGGTCTTGAATCGCTTTGCTATCCGACCGAGTTTCAAGTTCAAAGGATTTTGTTTTCAGGCTCAAATTACATGTCGAAGAGTTTTCATTTACTTTAGTGTCTCCTTTTATGGTAAGTTTTTTATTTTATTTTTTTTATTTTATGAAGTCTTTTCTTTTAGCAATGGCTAATTTGGTACTTTTGCATTGTTTTGTACCCTATATAAGGGTCACATTTATTTAGATACTTTATGTTGGCTTTTATATTATTCTAAAGTTTGGGTTGGTGCCGTTTTGTGCGTACAAAACCGAGTAGTTATTTTTTCGATTATGCTACATCACAAGTTTAAAACTAGTAAAACCACTGATAAGTATAATCCTTTGCCTCCTAATGAAGCAAATTGCAAGGGCCGTTTCCTGCTCTAATTGTTTCTGTTCCATTGCAGGTACAACTCTGATTCATAAACAAGCATTTTACAAGAGGAGCCTACTCCTCAGTATATGGCTTTTCTGAAATTAAAGAAAAGAATAGCAACACATAAAAAGCCACTTATGACCATGTTTTATTTGACCCATATACAAACACTAGAGGTTCGGTGACCTCAACTTAAAATTACAGTCTGTAACACAATTTCTCACTGCAAGAACTGGGAAAGTACCGTAAACAGATAAACATATAATAACACACATTATCCTTGCAAGGTCATAAGAACTGAATAGAGTATCACCGCCACTAAAATCTTCTGAAAGAAAAAGAAAACCTATCAATAGGAATCACAGTTGCAAGAGGATTCTTTGGAAGATTTGTGTCGTAAGTGGTCAATTGCTGGATTCTTCGGTTGAGGAAAGACGAGGAACTACAACGGGTGCGCCCCTGACTCTTTCAAGAGCATAGCTTATCCTTAGAGGCCGGCCCAGAAATGCCTACAAAAGAATACTGATTTTCATTATCTTCTATTGAATATACTTATTCTTCAGTTTTTCCATAGGATACTTGAAAAATCCAATGCACCATAATTTTTTTGTACCTTTCCATCCATAGCATCTTTGGCATGTTTAGCTTCCTGGTCTGTGGAAAAGTTTATGAACCCGAAGCCTCTTGACCTCCCAGAGTTCTTATCATACAATATCCTCACTGAGACGAAAAGGAACCGCAACCTTGATCATCTTAATACAAGATATAAAGAACGGTCGAAGTAAATATAATTTACAACATACAAGTACTGGATGATAAGAGAAGCACCAATCAGGCCATCAACTGCTAAATAAAAACACAAGATACAAACTACCATATCCACTATCTTCATCAAGACCTTACAACTTCCATTGAAGTTTTCTTTTCTTTAATCATTCCATAACAAATTAAATCAATCTTGAACTATTACTAATTAACAATGTTTTTGGTAATTATAGCTGCACTACAGAAATTCGGATAGTGCATTACAACTTATTGAAAGTTTATTTTGCGCATGCATCTTTGTTATCCATCTAAGTTGCATAAAAACGGGTACAGATGCCGGTATAGGTACGGTACGGAACACGATAAATTTGTAAAAGGTACAGTACAATGACATGGCACATACATACATATACATCCATCCATACATACATGTATATATATGTATACATATGTGTGTATGTGTGTGTGTATATACATGCAAACATACATATATTATATATTGAAATTACTCATTTATATGAGATCAATATTGTCTTTTATTCACATGTTATAAATTAGAACATCATTTTTAAATTAAACAGCCAAACGGCCCTTTAAAATAATAGCTTGAAACCCGACCGATGTCCAATGAGTTTTAGGAAGTGGATGTGAAGTGTAGAATATTCGTCCAAGAAGTGTATGAGAAGTGTTTTTAACTTAAAACATATATCGCATAAGTGAGTACATGCCCGAATAAATGTATGCATGTATGCACGGAGTGTCCGAGGAGTTTGGGTATGGATACAGTTACATGTACGCGTGGGGTATGGTTACAACTTCAGTTAGGAGTATCCAGGTAACATAGTTATCCATTCAGCTCCATTGAAGGCCACCCACAGCTCTTAAGCCAGTATCAACCAAATCCATTTGATCGGTTGTTCACTTTGAATCTAGACATACTCATCTCCTTCAATCGAAATCCTATAGCTCCGAAAGGCACACTAACTGATATGCATTAGGAGTAGCCAAACTATAGAGCTACATCCAAATTAACGGGCATTGCTGATAGGCAAACAAATATGATTTTATTCAATTGTATTATGATCCACATTCAAAATGTTAATATGGTAAACATTTTGCTATGGTATTTGAACATGTATACAAATGTGGTTTCCTTTTCTAAACCTTTGCACGATCCATATCCTAAGCCATATTAATGTGAATCTAAATAAAAACTAGGATTTGAGTATACAGCGGGCTCTTATATCAGTTACATTTATAGGAAGTTATCACATATTTTGAGTTCTGAGTTAACCCGATATAGAATGAAGACCACTTGTGAATAGATTAACCCGATATAGAATGAAGAACACTTGTGAATAGTTAATATAGGGATATAATCTCTCAATTAGGCATGGAAGATTTACATATGAAATTTGTACAATGCTGATTGATGATGTATTTATTCATCATTATAGTTTACTGATCTGAATTCTCATAACGAATTTATGAAATTGTCCTTTTTGAGTTAGTAGTCATATCTGTTTCCATAAGTATCATATTATATCCGTCGACTTTAGCGAATATTATGATGATATTCATTATCACCAAAGATCAGGATATGAATTCATATTCAAGTTATGAAATTACTCTGAACATAGATACACCAAATCCATTTTATATTTGTTCCATTTGTGCCCCTAATTGTCAGTCATCCATCTCAAACACTCATCTCAACCACTCCTATAGTAAAGACGAGGTAGCACAGCATTATGGCCATTGTTCAACATTTTTTGTTTATTTGTGTAGTTTACGAACACAAAGTTCTCTAGATACAGTTCACCATTTCAATGCTTTGATAAATGAACAACATTCTCATCAATCCCAATATCATGACAAATGATTGAACCTATGTAAGAAAAACTGATTTCTCTTAGGATAATTTCTTAGCCATCAATATAAAGTACAGTCTAAACCTTTGTTCCAAGTACTCTTACGACCATGACATTCTATTTTTCTTATTTCCATCTTATTTTCTAGGGTTTTTCCTAGAAACCATTTTCAATTTAGGGTAAGTACACACCAACCACATTTTATTTCTAATTTATACAGAAACCGCCTACAATTGTGTTTTTGTTCTAATTAACCACATGAACCTGCATATTTATCATTAAACCCAATTCTCCCCTTACAAAACTCGCGTGCTTTGCACATGCCTCTCACCCTGACCCACCCTTAGCTAGAACTTAACCTTTGGAACCAACCTAACTAAAAAAAAGTATAATAAATTCCAAAAAATCCAAATCCCTCCCTAAATTTTTTGAGAAGAAGAAATCTCAACAAATCTTTGATTTTTACTACATACTGAAGAAGATGGACATGATTTCTCTTTCTCATGAAGTTATTCTTGCTTCTTCCTCTTCCTCGACATATGGAAAATTAAAGGTGAAATGCAAATATGAATTTAGGAAATTCCAACAGAGAGATTCCTTACTAATAGAATAAGAAAATGATGGAGGGGGAGTGAATTTTTGGGGGGTGAGGCTCGAGACCACAGTGTTGTCTTCAACCTCCCCTTATGTGGTTTTTCTCCTTTTTAATTTCAGGGTTTAAGTTATGTGGGTGGGTGGGGTTAGTTAAGACTTGGGTTTCGTTTAGGGTTGGGTCGGTTAAGGGTTTAGGGTTTGGTCAATAGGTTAACAGTTAAGGGTCTAGTTAAGGGTGGGAGGCACGTGCAAAACAAATGAGTTTTATAAGGGTAGAATTGGATTTAATGATAAATATGTCGGTCCATGTGGTTAATTAAAATAAAAACACAAATTGTAGGTGGTTTCTATTAATTTCTATATAAATTAGAAATGAAAGGTGGTTTGCGTATAATTACCCAAAATTAAAGGTGGTTTCCAGGAAAAAAAACCTATTTTCTAAATTAATTATTTTAAATCTTTGTCCTCCACATTTCTAACTTATAGTGAGTTAGGATACATTTTTTAAGGAGGGGAGGGGAAGGATTAGAATGGTTAGGACGTTAACCTCAAAAAGTTGTGTTTTTTTAGATATTTAACTAGGAAGGAGAAGGGACGAGAGCGCTAAAAAGAAGCAAATCCATCACTTTCCTAGCCCTCCTAAAATGGACGAATTGCAAGGGAGGAACTAAGTTTAAGTGAAACTTTCTCATTATTCCAAAATTGTCCTTAAAGGGGAAAAAACATTTAATTGTATAATTTCTTCAAATGGGTATATTGGTTATGTACCTTCCCCTTTATTTCCTTGTCAACTCTAAACAAGTTAAAATTGCATTGTGCTCTCTCTTCCTCTTCTTCTCTATCCAAACACAATTAATTCTATTTTGCTCCTTCCCCTACCAACCCATTCCCTTAAGGCTTATTTGGATTTGCACCTAGTGAATGGAAGTCATGGGAACATAGGATAAGTTAAGGGAAGTTAAGGGAATATGTAAAACTTGTTTGGGAAATTAGTAGGAAGAATCAAGGGAAACTTATTTCACCTCATTTGGGAAGTTTAATAAAGTGAAGGGAAGAGAATATATGTAAACTTATATAAATAACATTGCATGTTATTTAGTCATTTTATTATTAGAAGTTAGATAGAGGATAAAATGGTCTCTTCATAATTGTTTTTTATTAGAAGTTCCCTTACTTTCCCTTCACCCTATTTACACCCCAAATTGGAGGGTAACAAAAACTTGATTTTTCTACTCCATTACCTAGCATAAGTTTACTCCCAAAGAAAGGTAAAGATTCCCCTAACTTCCTGATGAGGACATTCAGACGCGTGTTCGAGATTTTTGTCGGGTTTATCAGCGCAGGAGGCGCAATATTTCAGCATTATGGTTTTAAATTTAGATGTAATAATTAATTTGAATTTTAGATTTTCGAATTTTGAATTTCAAATTTTGATTCTTATTTGGTAGTTATGAGCTGATTGAATGTAATTTGTTATGGGAGTGATTTGAGGGATTTAGGAGATATTTCAAAACTGTAAATCCTACTTAAGAACTCTTGTATTCAGAAATTTGATATTGATGAATGAAATTAATTTGCTTAAACATGGTGTGAAACCTAAGCGTGATTAATTTCTTTGTCACCAGCCGTCACTCCTCCTCCTCACAAAAGAAAGCAAAAGAAAATTCGAAAATTGCACTGTTCATCTTCTTCCTTCATCTCAATCGCAGAACCCATCACATACCCCTGCCCCCTCTTCAAACCCATTAACCCAATGACCTCCTCAACCGCCTAACCCCCACCTCCGAATCCCCTACCTCCGGCAACCGCCCAGCACCGCCCTACCTCCGCCTATCGATCCAGTCAAGTGTGGACCAGACCCACTTGACCCAGTTGTTGAAGCTAGTTGAGTCAGATTCAACCCACTTGATCCCTGACTTTGCAATTGATGGTGTATGGCAGATCCTGACGCTGAAGACGGACTCGTGCTAGATCCAGAGACCGGCATCGTTGATTTACTGGTGTCCCCGTGGTTTGATTATCAATCGTTCGAGAGTGTGTCCGAGTACGTCGAGCGTGTGACTCATCAGATCGTTGACAGCGTAGAGAGTAGCTTGGGAATCAGCTCGTGGCATCGGCGTTTCCATCCAGATACACCGCTCCATCCGAATTACGTCGCTCTCGGAGGAGAACTTTCTCCCCTCATTTTTGGCGTATACGAACCACCTCCAGAGGAGCCTCCCGTCGAACCGGTTCAACCCGACGAAGGTTTAACTTTCTTTCGCTCAAATATTTTCGGAACTGCTATTGCTTGCATGTTGCTATCAATATTATTATCGATCGTACTTGTGTTGTATTCAGCTTGATTAAGTGAGCGAGCGAATCTGTTGCTAAGTATTTCTACTTATCTAAATATTACAATTTGAACTGTATTGAGAGAACGAATCATTACATTTATTTTTCTGGATAATTTACAAAAGATTTGAACTTAGTACATTGCAACGTTTGCTT